TGAGATAGATAGATAGATAGATAGATAGATAGATAGATAGATAATTATAGAGTGCGATAGATAGATAGATTACTACCAATAAAAATTTTGTCGGCATTAAATAATCCATTGAGGTTGATATGCCGTAAAACAAAACAAAACAAACAAAACTAGTATATACTGAGATAGATAGATAGATAGATAGATAGATAGATAGATAGATAGATAGATTACTACCAATAAAAAATTTTGTCGGCATTAAATAACCCATTGAGGTTGATATGCCGTAAAAAAAACAAAACAAACAAAACCAGTATATACTGAGATAGATAGATAGATAGATAGATAGATAGATAGATAGATTACTACCAATAAAAATTTTGTCGGCATTAAATAATCCATTGAGGTTGATATGCCGTAAAACAAAACAAAACAAACAAAACTAGTATATACTGAGATAGATAGATAGATAGATAGATAGATAGATAGATAGATAGATAGATAGATAGATAGAATACTACCAATAAAAATTTTGTCGGCATTAAATAACCCATTGAGGTTGATATGCCGTAAAACAAAACAAAACAAACAAAACTAGTATATACTTAGATAGATAGATAGATATATAGATAGATATATAGATAGATAGATAGATAGATAGATAGATAGATAGATAGATTACTACCAATAAAAATTTTGTCGGCATTAAATAACCCATTGAGGTTGATATGCCGTAAAACAAAACAAAACAAACAAAACCAGTATATACTGAGATAGATAGATAGATAGATAGATAGATAGATAGATAGATAGATAGATAGATAGATAATTATAGAGTGCGATAGATAGATAGATTACTACCAATAAAAATTTTGTCGGCATTAAATAACCCATTGAGGTTGATATGTAAAACAAAACAAAACAAAACAAACAAAAGCACATTTCTATTTATACAGTATTGATATTACCCAGAGAGCAGCCCTCTCGACACTTCAGTTTCATTCCACATGTTTTTAATAAAGTTCAATAAAATTTTATAATTATCTGATTTTGTTTAAGTTTAATATTTTTGTTTTCAACTTTATTGCTCAGCAAAGAAGAGGGCTTGTCCAGACTGAGTGGGAGGGGAATGTATTATTTCAATGTAGTTTTATGTGTATGTATGTGTGTACGTTAAATGGCGCAATCACTTCTGTAATCACTTCCGCACAGAACAGACATTACATGTAAAGTCACAGACTGAAAATTCCATTAGCGGTGCGAGTAAGCAACAAGGACGCCTTAAAGAAAATGGCAACAGAAAGATGTCTTTTACTCAGAATCAGGAAATTCCGGATGAAATTCGATGGACAACGAGGAAGGAGGGCTTGGAAAACTTAACCTTCACGTGGCGTATTGATGGCAAGAGAGATAAGGGGAGGCAGCTAGCCACTTACCTGACGAGCTTGTGTGAATGGATGGCAGAATGGTGACCGAAAGTCTTAGCAGAGCTATACAAGATAGGAAGTTGTGGAGAGCCACGATCCTCTCTGTCCTGAAGGGACGTGCCACAAAAAAGAAGACGAAAGTCGCACAAATTCAGTGCCTGATAGACAGATAATCGGCTCTTTTATTATACCAGAATTCTTTTTTTTTTGCAATACGCTGACCCGTGTTGAATTCCTCACAGTATGTTTAGTTTTACTGTTGAAGTTCTGTTAATCGCTAAAAATTTTTTGTTGAGATTTACAAATTCTACGTTTCGTTCAATTTCGCAAACCAATCGATGGAATTTCAATAGGCTGATTTGTTTTGGAAAATACTTTGACAAAAACATTACTACGTGGTTTAATAATTAATTTAATTTAATTTAATAGGACTTCATGGTAAGCTATTTTTTACTCTGGTTTCGATCGGTCAATCAATAGCTATTTTATTAGATAGTGGGACAGAACGGAAGTCACACGTTTTTTATTTATTATGGCAGCTGTTGATTCAGTGTTTATTAGAAAGAAAAAAGAAGTCAAAATTGGTATATATTTTTTTCAATTTCTGAAATTGAAGACGTGAGAAAATAATATTTTTGTCATATGCTTAAAACAAAACCTTCAACTAAAATTGTATCCCTTTTCCCCCCATATATCTCTAAACTATAAACTATAATTTATAATTACTAGATTTTTTGCAATACGCTGACCCGTGTTGAATTCCTCACAGGATTTAGTTTTATTGTTGAAGTTCTGTTAATCGCTAAAAAATTTTTGTTGAGATTTACAAACTCTACGTTTCGTTTAATTTCGCAAACCAATCGATGGAATTTCAATAAGCTGATTTGTTTTGGAAAAATACTTTGACAAGAAACCTACTCCGCGTTTAAATAATTTCTTTAATTTAATTTTATCGGACTTCATGGTAAACAATATTTTTAAAAACATTTCTTTTTTTTCTTTTTCCTTAATAACAGCGAAAAATAAATTCTAAGGATTTCATGCAACGTGCAACTGGTCATGCGTATATATTCTTTTCTGGAGCCAAATTCCAACTTTTAGAAGCGTCTGGCCTTGTGATTTGTTTAAAGTTCTTGCAGATGCAGGGCGAACTGAAAACTGGATTCTTGTATATATAAAAACTTAAAGAAAAGCTATGCAAAAAACAATATTGCCTTTTTATTAAACAATTATTCGTTATTTTAATTATTAATTTGTTTTTTTTTTAATAGTTTGAGTAATTTGCATGTTAAATAATAAAACTTTTAATTTTTTCAAAAATTTAATGAAAATTCATTGTTCTAATCTTGTCCAGCTGCGGCCTAGTAAAACCAACTTTACTTTAGTCACCTCCCCTTACCTATGTGTACTTCTCCCCCAAATTTGGTTTCAATCAGCCAATGTATGGCTACTTAAAGGGTGTGACGGACTGACGGACAAACGGATGTCACAGAATTCTATATATAGATAAATTAGGATTTGTAACAGTTAGGGTGGTAGAAGAATAACGTTAGCACAGGTACTATTAATACCGTAGTAATTCGTGTATTCAACAGGTTATAAAATATAATCGTAATAAAGGGTGTTCCAATAACTTGGACTTATTTTGATGCGAATTAAGTTTAAGCGTCTAATGATTTTTTTCTTTTTCTTTCAGATTTGGCGGACATTTTGGCGATATTATTTGCTATGACTTAAATAACATGATCCAATAGAGAATTAAATAATTTTTCACCAATAACACTGATTTATTTACAGCTGATTTTGATCCGTCTTAATGAAACACCCTTATATATAATCCGTCTTAATGAAACTCCCTTATATATAATCCGTCTTAATGAAACACTCTTATATATAATCCGTCTTAATGAAACACCCTTATATATAATCCGTCTTAATGAACCACTCTTATATATAATCCGTCTTAATGAAACACCCTTATATGTAATCCGTCTTAATGAAACACCCCTATATACAATCTGTCTTAATGAAACACCCTTATATATAATCTGTCTTAATGAAACACCCTTATATATAATCCGTCCTTATGAAACACTCTTATATGTAATCCGTCTTAATGAAACACCCTTATATATAATCCGTCTTAATTAAACACCCTTATATATAATCCGTCTTAATGAACCACTCTTATATATAATCCGTCTTAATGAAACACCCCTATATACAATCTGTCTTAATGAAACACCCTTATATATAATCTGTCTTAATGAAACACCCTTATATATAATCCGTCCTTATGAAACACCCTTATATGTAATCCGTCTTAATGAAACACCCTTATATATAATCCGTCTTAATGAAACACCCTTATATATAATCCGTCTTAATGAACCACCCTTATATATAATCTGTCTTAATGAAACACCTTTATATATAATCCATTTTAATGAAACACTCTTATATATAATCTGTCTTAATGAAACACCCTTATATATAATCCATCTTAATGAAACACTCTTATATATAATCCATTTTAATGAAGAACCCTTATATATAATCTATCTTAATGAAACAACTTATAAATAATCAGTCTTAATGAAACACCCTTATAGATAATCCGTCTTAATGAAACACCCTTTAGAATGCTAATGCATGCAGTAGAGATAGCACTGCATATTTTCTTCACTAATAGCCCTTTAAAGATTTTTTCCAATGAATATTGACTTCTTCGTGCTCTCCTCTACCTTTACAAGAGACAGATCAGGCATAAAATGGAGTACTGCTGTCATATTTGGACAGGAAATACCCAGTCCTCATTTTCCAATCTCGATAGAACTCAAAAGCGTTTCCGCATCATTGTGGGTGACAAATTATTGTCCTTTGTCAACCACTCTCTCACAGACGATTATAGCAAGCCCCCCCCTCACAGCTCTGTCGCTACTTCCATGGAAAGGGCCCAGACGAAATAGATTCCTTAGCTCCGCCAGTTCTACATGTCACAGGTAGGACCCACTATGCCACTCACATTATAACAAACCATCTCATTCTCTCCGTATTCCATTGATGAGAAGCAAGTTTCAGTCAAGTAGCTTCTTCCCGCTCTGTGGAACCGACTCACAAGAGGATGTTTCCCTGATCGCTACAATCTTAACCTATTCAAGTCTAGGGTTAACCGTTATCTCCCCCATCTATCCGCATAAACTGTGCCTCTTACACTAACCCTCTATCTCGAGTGGCCCCCGGGCCTTGTGCAGAGTGAACCTCACTCTAAAAAAAAAAAAAGAGAGATTCAAACCAAGCTCGTTGCCAGATTTTCTGAATCAGCCGAAGAAATCCTTGGACGAGCAACAGACACCCACCTTTCCCACTGGCTACCCGAGGAACAATAAACAAGAATCTTCTTTCACTTTTCACAGTAGTCAGTGGGTCGTATAAATGTCCTTGATGTTGTAATTGAGATGCTCTTGTTGATAGGTTCCAGCTTACAAGAAAAACAAATTTATCAGTGAAGTCGGTTGTTTTTTGGATCTGTTCGGCTAATTATGGTGAACTTTTATGGTAAAATTTGGAGGCTGATTGTTAAGTGATATCAGGATGATGACATACGAACGTGACTCGTTGGCTGAACTATCTCCGTTGACGCTAGGGAAAAGAGGGGACGCGTCCTGTCATTTGCTCGATCGTCTCTCACTCTCTCTCTCTCTCTCTCTCTCTCTTTGGCGATTGTTTCTTTCCTTTTTCCTTCACCCCTTTTCCCTTTGAGAATTTCTTCTTTCCTCCATTCCCCTTTCCTTTATTTCCCCTCACCCATTCATCTTTCTTTCTTTCTTTCTTTCTTTCTTTCTTTCTTTCTTTCTTTACATAATTTCTTTCTTTCTTTCTCTTCCTTCATTTTTCCTCTCATGATTTTCCTTCCTTCCTGCCTTCCTTCCTTCTTTTCATTATTTTTCCTTCCACTCATTTTGCCTCACTTCTTCTCTCGTTGTTTCCTTTCTTTTTTTTTTTCACGTTTATTTTTCCTTCCATCATTTTCCATTCCTTTTCCTCCATCTTTTCTTCATCACTTCCTTCCTTCCTCTATTCGTTTATTTTTTACTAGTGGGGATACCCGGCGTTGCTCGGAAGATCTCTGAATAATAGTTTATTATTGACAATTGATATTTTTCAGCCATCTTATGGAAAATAATTTTTTATTCAATCTTTAAAAAATAAACTTCATTGTTTTATGGTTTGTTACAAAATGACTAAATATAGGAAAATACCACACTACCAATACCACGCTCGGGGGTGGGGGTCTTTGGGGGCTGAGCATCCCTATTCAAAAAGACACTTTATTTTTCGATTTAAATACTAACGTAAATACTTTGTTAATGTTGTTTTCAAATAAGTCAAACTTAGATAAAAGTTCATTTTTTTCAAAAGTTCTTTTTTCAAATTATTTTTAATAAAAAAGTAAATAAACTTAGATTAAGTTATATTTAAACAATTATTAATTTAATAATTTTTTCACTGAAAAACGGTAGCGAACCTTACTTCTTCGAAAAATAATTATTTACTATTTATTTTGGAGGGGAATTTAGATTCTTTTAAGTAAATAATGCTTTACTTTTAAACAATACATTAGCAAACCTTTCTCTGTAAATGAATTTAATTTCTATTTTGAAAGAGAGTAGAAGCAAGCAAGATACATTGAGAATTTAATTTTGAAAATGATTGTTTAAATTTCATGTTATATTTAGTATTTGAAAAGAAAAGAAAAAACTTTCGTAAAATAAAAATTAGGGGAGACAGACTTACGGCCAACATTAGTCGTGTTGAATATTTGTTTTAGAATTTAACTATATTTTATTTAAATTAATTTTCGAATAAACAAGGCTTGTTATAGTTTTTTGCTAGTAAAACTTTTTACGTTAGTTAAAGACCAAAAAAAAAAAACAATGAAGTCTATTTTTTAAAGATGGAATAAAAAATTATTTTTCATAAGATGGCCGAAAAAAAATAATAATTCAATAATACACACACACACACACACACACACACACACAGAGAGAGAAAACAACTGCTCTTTAGGATGACACTGCGTCTGTATATATACAGAAACCTCTCCTCAACAGACTAATAGGGGACGTTACAATTGTTCGTCTGTAGATGGGAAGGGATTAGTTTTGAGTTATAAAACCGCCATAGTAACCACCAGTAGTTATGATCATAATGTAAATACTATAAACATGTATATATGGCATAAATAATTATGTACTTAATAGATATATTAATCAAAATAACAAAAATAAAAGATTTCTCATAGCTACTTTCTCACGCACGCGCTAAAAAAGAAAAGTTGATAAGCCGTAAAAGACAAATAAATTCTTCCACTTACTTTTCTACATCCTATAATTATTATTATAACTATTATTCTATAATAAGAAAGAAGGCTTTGAAAATTTGACACTCACAAGGCATACTGAAGGCAAGAGCGACAGAGGAAAAACAACAGATAACGTACCTGACGAGCTGGTGTACAAAGAGGGAGAGAGCAAAAAAAAGACCCCCCCCAAAAAAAAAAACCCAACTTTAGTAAGAGCTACAAAGGGCATGAAACTGTGGAGAGTTGTGATTGTCCACGTGCTGAAGGGACACGGATCATAAAAGACTCCACCGTGATTAATTTTCAAGCAATGAGAGATCCTCAAATGGTTTACAGAATGAAATGGGAAAAAATATAACTATCACACACACACACACACACACACACACACACACACACACACACACACACACATATATATATATATATATATATATATATATATATATATATATATATATATATATATGAAGATGATGTGGTACATGGCCGAGTGGTGAGAATTTCGCATTCTGGCCATGACAACTGGGTTCGAAACTCAACAGGGTCGATTTGTCAGGAAGGTGACTTCCTGATGTTATCCGACTGGAGAGGTCGATCCTTTGGAAAGTTCCTGAAAACCATACGACGGGTTGACCCAAGGCTTGTGAGTGAAATTCGATTGACGGAACCCTTGGGCCCGTGCTAGCATGAAGTCACCAGTCATCGTGGCCGAGGACTTGAGCGTGCTGGCCTTGTTTAAACTGTTGATCAAGCTAGATAACATGATCTTTCCCAGAAACTATAACTAAGGTTTGCCCACCATAATTGCAGTATAACCCACAGGTGGGCTCTGTGTGTGTTGAATAAACACAAATGCGCCTGAGCAAGAGTCTGCAACAGGGATTGGTTAGCCGTCCTAGTAGACGGGTATCCTCGAATACGAGTGTCCAGCTATATATATATATATATATATATATATATATATATATATGACGTTGATGTGACAAAGTGGAAAATTTATAAACAGCGCGTTTCGCAGAGAGCATATGCTTTCTTTGGCTTCCTCAAGCCAGAATGAAAGAAAGTGAAGAAAATCCGTTCGTATTTCTACGGATAAGCGTGAACCATAAATCAAATTAAATTAGATTAGCTTCTCGCCTCCAATAATGTCTGTCCTCCTGTTCGTTTGTTTTTTATATATATATATATATATATATATATATATATATATATATAGTATGAAATGGATAAGTCCGACAATTATTTTAATACTTTTTTCTGTTTATACGTTATTTTATATATATACTTTTTATTTTTTACAACTACTTTTTGGGACAATTAAAATAAATACCAGTGTTGGTCTCATACCTTTGAACTGTATATATATATATATATATATATATTTAAATAAGTCTTTTTTAGTATAAAATTTAAGGATAGCTAGGAATAAGCATAATTTATATGGCATTTTAATGTATATTTTAAAAGCTAAAAAACAACTGGTTTCGTCCCAGCCTTATCAAGTTTATTTCTGGGATATAAAAATATAAACGTGTAAATTTAATTTATATTAATGATAACCAACGGAGGGAAAAAATGTGAATTTCAAGAAAGCTAAAGTCCAATAATATTCAGACCCAGTAAGCATTCTCTCTGCTTTCAGAGGGAAGGCCCACAGGATCTGATATACAAGGACTCGAAAAATCGAAAAACTGTCCACCCTAAAATCAAAGATACAATTCCTACTATTTATAACATGCTCTGCAACATATAATAGTTGGCCATTCGTATTCGAGGATACACGTCTATTAGGGCGGCTAGCCAATCCCTATTGCAGACTCTTGCTCAGGCACTTTTGTGTTTGTTCAGCACCTAAAGAGCCCACCTGTCTTTTATACTGCAACTATGCTGAGCAGACCTTAGTTGCAGTTTATGCGAGGGAGCGTGTTATCTAACGTGATCAACAATATGAACAAGGCCAACGCACTCAAACTCTTGTTGATTACTTGTGTCTTCGTGCTAGGACAGCTATCAACGCCCGCAAGGGTTCTGTCTACCCAATTTCACTCACCGTGGTTCTCAGGCACTTTCCCATTTCAACCTGTGGTATGGTTTTCAGGCACTTTCCAAAGGTGCTACATTCCGATGGCCCCTTCAGACTAATACCATCAGGATGTCTCTTTCCTGATAAATCAACCGTGGTGAAATTTGAACCAGGATCTCTCTCCCCTCACACACACACACACACACACACACATATATATATATATATATATATATATTTACATATATATATATATATAGTTAAATTCACATCACGTTGAGACACCCGTCCCGTATGATCACCGAAGTTAAGCAACTCTTGTATTTAACCTTCAAGTACTTTTCAATCAATATATATATATATATATATATATATATATATATATATATATTGAGAAACCGCAAACGTTTTTGGTTACAATGTGGATTTTTTTTTTTAAATATTATGCTTTTATTTTCCATAACTTATGGAAAATAAAAACATATTTTTAAAAAAAAATCCATATTACAACCAAAAACCTTTGTGGTTTCTCTCTTCTTTTTATTATATACACTTTTCTTTCGTTGGAACAACTATAACCTCTTATATATATATATATATATATATATATATATATATATATATATATATATATATATATATATATATATATATATATATACTGTCTTTGGGCTCAGTTCTAATTCGTTTTCGGACAAAACACGGTATAAATTAAGCAAGTCTGATTCAGGGCAATCCATTTCAGAGACATTATCTCAGCTTTGCACTAAAAATAGGAAATCTCGTGGATCCCCCCTCACGAATTTATAGCATCGATCACATGAACTGGAACTTTCTGGTTTTACTAGCATATCCGTGTATGAAGATTCACATTGAATCAGACTTTGTATCAAATTTAGCTGTTTTGTGTAGACAAATACAATCAGCCGTGTTTCAGCTTCAGGCGAGACACAAGCACAAACGAATGTGATTTTTCCAAGCAGCATCTCCTATTTCATAAACGGAGTCGGGTTTAATGTACTCGAAGACACCGTCGGCATTTTGCCGATGAAAGTAAGCCATTTTTTTTAAATCGGTTCACACATATACACGTGCAACCTTCTACGTTAGACCTAGCTTTATGTCAGAGGGAAATAACTGTGAGGATTAGACAGAGCGAAAAGAAAGATGAATTCGTGATTTTCTTTAGGGCATGGTAGTGGATGCTGGCCAATTTCTTCACAGATGAAGAGGAAACATGAAGGAACAAAAATAGGGCCCCTCGGAAGAATGCTGAGAATACCATGGACGGAACAATATCCACTCCTCTGTATAGCACTGAATGCTGGACAATCTCCTTAAAGATGAAGAGGAAACTTGAGTCAACACAGATTTGGTTCCACAGAAGAATGCTGAGAATACCATGGACGGAACAATATCCACTCCTCTGTATAGCACTGAATGCTGGACAATCTCCTTAAAGATGAAGAGGAAACTTGAGTCAACACAGATTTGGTTCCACAGAAGAATGCTGAGAATACCATGGACAGAACATTTGTCGAAGTTTTAAGGAAAAAAATGGAAGCAAAATAGACGTTTAGAGTAACAAAAAAAGTGTATCATAATGTCTGGGACGCATAATAAGAAAAGAGGACTTGGCGAATTTAACACTCACGGGATGGGAGAACGAGGAACAGAGGGACGTAACGATTAACCTATTTAACGAATTTGTGTAAATGGATGGCGGAACAGGGACTGGAAGAGATATTAAGGAGACAAAGCTTAGTTTTATTTATTTATTTTTAGTACTTGTTAACCCATTAAAAACCTATAAGCCGCTCAATGTAGAGGGATACAAATCGAGGTTGCTCCCTGTAAAAGCGGGAGGCAAGAAGTGTAGAATATGTAGCAAAAATACCGGTTAACCCCTAGACTTAACGAGGTTAGGATTGTAATGATCCGGGAATTGTATGAAGGGAATAGGAATTATTGATTACAATATAAATGACATGGCAGGTCTTAGATGTGAAGGTCTGAACTGGAGAAACGAAGGAATGAAGCTCGTCAGAACTTTTGCCATGAAAATAATGATACAGTAACAAGAGGAAAAATAATTCATCACCCCAAAGGCCGCGATGACTTCAGAAATCTACCATGCTTGGAAAGTGAGGATTCGACAATTCCAGTCTCGATATGGCACCAATAATACCATTTTTTGGTCTGAGTTGGCTCTTGTAGAGCATAACAGATTGTTTGTTTGTTTAGTAGCATATCAACTCCTTATTTAATGCCGAAATTTTATTTTCTTGGGAGCATTGGGGATTTCTTTAAAAAATGTATTGCTGGTAATTTTTTTATTTAAAAAAAAATGTATTGCTTGTATTTTTAGCATAAAAATGTATTTCTATACTTTCACTGTGTTTTGATCCCAGTTTGGGGGTTAACTATTTGTCCATAGTTGGGACCCTAATAGGTGCTAACCCCCCCCCCCCCGGTTGAGGATAGACCTGGAAACAAAATCAATTAAGAGGTGATACCACGCTCCTTAAAACCTCTCGATCAAAGACCTTGCTGCCGGATGTAGTCTATCGTCATATGCAGAACGAGAGCATAATAGACGGAGTTAGCTACTTACTAGAGCAGTACAAGGAACTGACTATTTTTTCAGCATCTTTGGCAATTGATTGTCTATGAGTTCCACTTGAGGTCTCGGATGAACTTGTCGCAATAGGCGTTAAAGGTCAGGGACCTCCTTGAGAAAATAACAATTCACCATGATAGACGCATGCTCAGATAGAGTTAAAAATATAGGAAGTTGTGGAGAGCACTGATTACCTATATCCTGAAAGGACACTGCATATTATAGAAGAGAAAGCTTAGTGCTAAAATGTATAGAAGCTTCCATTTTCAAGCACTGATAGTCGTTATGACAACACTCTCAACGATGTTTTCATCATGGAGCGATAAAAAGAACCGAGTAAGTGCTTCTCTCGTTAATTATTCCAGTCCGTTCTGATCTGTCTGTCCGGTTGTCTTTGACGGTTCCACCTGTTCCTTCCTTTGTTGTAAATTTATCGCTGTATTACATATGGTAACGCAGGTGTCACAGAGCTAATCTAACAAACTAATTTGAGAAATTATACATAACTCATCTCGGTCTCTTCAGTGCGTTAATATCTCTTTTAGTCTATTTCTATCTATCTATCTATCTATCTATCTATCTATCTATCTATCTATCTATCTATCTATCTATCTGTCTCAGTTTGTTCATATCTATCTATCTATCTATCTATCTATCTATCTATCTATCTATCTATCTATCTATCTATCTATCACAGTTTGTTCATATCTATATCTATCTATCTCAGTTTGTTCATATCTATCTATCTATCTATCTATCTATCTATCTATCTATCTATCTATCTATCACAGTTTGTTCATATCTATATCTATCTATCTCAGTTTGTTCATATCTATCTATCTATCTATCTATCTATCTATCTATCTATCTATCTATCTATCTATCTATTTTGCCCCTGGCCCTCATTCTCATTACCTGAGTTTGTCCATTTTCTTTCTTTTCCTTTCTTTTTCTTTGCTTTACTTTCACTATTTTAATTCTTTATTTTTTCTTTCTTTGTTCTTTCTTTGCTTTACTCTTACTATTCTAGTTCTTTCTTTCTTTCTTTCTTTCTTTCTTTCTTTCTTTCTTTGCTTTACTTTGTCCTCAGCATTCTAGTTATTTCTTTGCTTTGCTTTGCTCCCAAGTTTGTATATACTTCAGTGAATATGACTATAAATGTTTTTCTTATATACAAATACTTCTCACATTTTCCTTCGAATACTTTCCTTCTGTATGAAAACAGATGTGCAGAAAAGGAATTCTGTCCACAAAGAGTACGGAGAGAACGTTAGTTTGAGTTTTAAGTAATTACCGGATTTCTTTATCAATTTTACTGTTCAAAAAATAATTCACAATTACATGTAATTCAATTATATATTCATCGTTATTTGCAATGACTTGTTACCGCTTATCAGGCAACTCTTCGAAATATTTTGAGTAATATTACGCAGGTTTCCATGCGAGGAAATTTTCAACGAACACTTGAATCTGGTTTTCTTTAGCGAAAGTTTACTTATCAAAGCGTTTTGCAACGATCATAAAAGGTAATAACCAGTTGGTGCAAAGTGAGGTAAATATGGCGGCTGAGTTAGAAGAGACCAACCGAATTCTAAAAGTGTTCACCTGTGTTATTCTTGCTGTATGCAGCCTTTCATCGTCATGGAGAACAACACACAGATGTTGCCATTATTCAGCAAATAAACCTTGAGATTCTAATAAGTCTTTATTTTATATAACGATAAAACAAAGTGGTTAATAATGTGATTTGATGTAATTTCTACGTTCAATGAACATGAAAAAAAACTTGCTTAAGGTCTAGATGCTCACTTATTTAAATTATATTGTTCATACTAACATAATTATTTGGCTGAGTCAAAGATAATTTCCGTTTTTGTTTATCAACTTCATTCTTCAAAGTATTAAAATTGGTTCCCCAAAATCGAAATTGAATATGATTTATGAATAGATTGTATCTTTCAAGAGTTTAAACGGTGCCAATTAAACGGAAATTATATATAAAATTCTGTGGCTTCTATTATTCCGTCCGTCAACACACTCTAAAATAGCCATACATTGTCCGATCGAAACCAAATTTGGGGGGAGGTACAAACAGGTAAGGGGGTACAAAGTACAGTTGGTTTCACAAGGGTGCATAAAAACCGCGAAGTATGGTTTTTGTCAAAGTAATTTTCCAATACAAATCAGCTCATTGAAATTTCATCGGTTTGCGAAATTGAACGTAAATCTTGACAAAACTTTTTAGCGATAACAGAACTTCAAGAATAAAACTAAAAATCCTGTGAGGATTTTAACACGCGTCAGCGTATTGCAAAAAATCTAGTAATTATAAATTATAGTTTATAGTTTAGAGATATATGGGGGGAAAAGGGATACAATTTTAGTTGAAGTTTTTGTTTTAAGTTTCAAGTTGAAACTTACTTAGAAAACAAAATTTTGCTAATGTCATTTAACGATTAAAAAACAGGATTTTTTTTGTTGGGGGGGGGGTCAAACTAATAATACAAACTTTGAACATTGGTATTTTTTAAGGATCTTTTCCCATTAATATTTATATTACGAATATAAAACATTTTGACTTCTTTTTTTTTTAATAATAAACACTGATACAACAGCTGCCATAATAAATTTTTACCTTTCTTAAAATAAAAAAGCATATGACAAAAATATTATTTTCTCACGTCTTCAATTTCAGAAATTGAAAAAAATATATACCAATTTTGACTTCTTTTTTTCTTTCTAATAAACACTGAATCAACAGCTGTCATAATAAATAAAAAACGTGTGACTTCCGTTCTGTCCCACTATCTAATAAAATAGCTATTGATTGACCGATCGAAACCAGAGTAAAAAATAGCTTACCATGAAGTTCTATTAAATCAAATTAAATTAATTATTAAACCACGTAGTAAGGTTTTTGTCAAAGTATTTTTTGAAAACAAATCAGCCTATTGAAATTCCATCGATTGGTTTGCGAAATTGAACGAAACGTAGAGTTTGTAAATCTTGTCAACAAATGTTAGCGATAACAGAATTTCAAAAATAAAACTAAATACTGTGAGGATTTAGTTTTCAACAAGCGTCAGTGTGTTTCAAAAAACAATTCCGTTAATTCTAAAAAAAAACTTCTAGTAATTCAATATTTTTTAGAACATGAAATTTGAAACGGACATCTTTGGAATAATTTGGGGAGTAACTTCTTTTGCTTTTAAATCAACAATTTTTTCTACAAGATTTTTTAAGGGACTTCTTCATATGAACTTTATAATATACCTATATAGTATATACAACAGTCTTAGTATATAGTATATACTAAGACACTTGACCACAAATTTGTTGTTATAGTCACAGTATTTCGCCTGTGTTAACAATTGGCTTGATTCACATGTCAATTATGGATGTTAACTTCATCTAAAAAATTCCTACAAAAATTGGTGATATTTGATACTTACAAATATCATTCATTTTAGAACTACAGAAATGTCACAGAAAAAATTAAGCAAAACAAAGAAAGACTTGAACGAGAGAGAGAGAGAGAGAGAGAGAGGGGGGGTGGCGAAAACGCTAACCAGAAGATCAAAAA